CCCATGCTCGCCACACTGTTCTGTCTTCTCAGGCTCGCCACATTGTCCGGCTGCCCCATGCTCGCCACACTGTTCTGTCTTCTCAGGCTCGCCACATTGTCCGGCTGCCCCATGCTTGCCACACTGTTCTGCCTTCTCAGGCTCGCCACATTGTCCTGCTGGCCCATGCTCGCCGCGTCAACCTGCAAACCATTTCCTTTACTGCTGTAGTTCTGCACTCCTCTGTTGTACCCGTCGCCATCCTGGTATATGCTTGAGGATCGGCCTATACCCAATTCGGACTGTGTGGGAATCCGATGAATATTCTCACCTGCCTTCAAATCATTCGCGACCTCTCTTTCTCCCTCCTTTTTCTTATTGTTTTTGCGGAAGAAGTAGTACACAAAAAGCAAAAGCGCCGCGAGCCCACAGACTGCCAGAGCAATGAGTAGCCCAGCCCACCACGGCAACTTCTTGGATGGCAAAATAGGAAAACCATTTTCATCAGTCGAAGGTGAGGATTCCGCCCCAGATGTGAAGTCGTAGTACTCGCAGACCCAGGTGTTGTACACAGCAGCAGGAACCTCATTCTCCCATTGGCCTGTGCGTACCATTTTCACGAGGATTTTGTCCGCCGCCGTGAAAAAAGCGACCGGCTGAACCTTTTTCTGAAAATTGGCGTACATGCCAGGAACAGGCACAGTGTGGTCCACCTTGTTATATACAGCACCCCTGAAGAACGTGCGGTCATGTATACTGCTTCCGTTCATGAGGCCAGTGGTGAGGAGCCACTCACACGGTTCCAGCGTGCAAAAAGCGTGCAGGTTCTTAGCGCCGATGGGGGCTTCTTGGGCCCCGGAAGCTGCGAGTGCTTCAGAGGCCAACGTCTGGAAGCTCTCCTGTATGGGCATCATCGTGTGGGCTCCGCCGTTTTGAGGGCAGAATCCTTCTTGTTCCGCGGTCATAGCACTGGACGTCTGAACGTCGTAGTGCACATTGTACGCATGGGTGCTCAGCGGTGCGCACAGCACCGCAACAAGCACGGCACATCGGCAGACCACGGAAAGTACCGGCGCGTGGCGAGCCTGTGTTTCCATCACCGGAGCGCGGCTCATTGAGCTTTCGTGAGAGGAATGAGTGGAAGTGGATGAGACCTTCTGCAAGCACTTAGTTGCCTTTTTTTCTTTCCATTTCCACGCCGCAACAGAGGAGAGAAGCACGCACAGTACACCACGCAGCGCCGCCGCCACAACGCGGGGAGCCCACACCACGCACAAACAAGTCCCGCATGCACCGGCTCTGTCGGTGCCGTGACGGCGCCAGAAAACAATCCAGCCGACGCCAAACACAGAGCAGAGGCGTGAAGCCCAACCACCCGCACACAAACACACACACACACACGCCAGAAGAAACCGGCCAAACGCACAGGAACGTGCTCTCATTCCTCGTACGGGCCACTTTGGGGGGAAATTACGACAGTCACGGCCACCGCGACGTCGTGGTCCCGTGGCATGTGCACTACACCGAGCTGCCGCTCTTCGTTGATCTGGAGTAACAGGCGCTCAAACCCACCAGATGCTGCCTGGACGCCGCTGCCGCCGCTGCAGGGTCCGGCCAGTCCCAACGTGGCGTCATAAACCGCGCCGGCTGCGCGCCACGTCTTGCCTCCGCAACGCACTCCACACGCTAACGCAAGGTGTGACCGCAGCACTCGCGTCTGTGCGTGCTTGCCCCCGCCGCGCGCCGAGAGAATCACATCCGTGTCCCGCCGCATCTGCACTGTAACCGTGCCGTACGGTCCGCCGTCGCCGTGGAACGTCACTCCTTCCTCGGGGTCCAGTACAACGGCCGCGTGGGGGCACTGTGCCACCACCAAATCTTCAATCGCGTCCCGCGCGGCACTGCCTAGAAGCGTCACCTGGCTCACCACGCGTGCATCGCCGAAGCGGAGGTCCAGCAGACGGCCCAGCACTGGCCGTGTGACGAGGGTAGACTGCAGCACGCAGTCGCCGTCCGTCAGCTCAACGAGGAGTTTCGCATCGCCCATCGGGTAGGCCAAGACGATGCGCGCGAGACGGACGGCCGCCAAGGGGGCAGGTCCGCCGAGAAGCAGCGCGTCGCGAAGGGAAGTGAGGTGCACCATGAAACGCGCATTCGATGCAGAGTACTCTGTGAACAACGCCTTTGGAAGCGTCGCGGTGGCGGTGATGCTCCGGTCCACCCCCTCCACGTGTAGTACGACGGCGGTGTCCGTGAAGGCCACAGTTGCCCACGAGTCCTTCGCAACGTTGAGAACGGCCACGGCCTTAAGAAGAAGGTGAGGGTGGGCCACTCGGCAGTAGACAGACATCCGGGTGGTCCTTCTGTTTCCTTCGACCTTTCTGCGGTTGCCCACCTCTCTCTCTCTCTCTCTCT